GATTGAGTGCTAAATGTTGAATTCCTATGAAAAATAAAATTTGTTTACCAAAAAAAAAAAAAAAGAGGCTGCAGCCACCTGGGCCTCGCTGTTTCCCCGCCTCGCCATCCGGCTCTGAACCGAGGCCCGGGAGGCTGCAGCCGCCCGTGCCTCGCTTTCCCCCGGCCGCCCGCTCGCCTGGCCGACCGCCCTTGCCACTCTGCCCCCCCTCCCGGCTTGCCGCTTCCCTTCCAAGCGGTGGCAGCCTCGGTCGCAGAGCGTTCCCTGCGCATGCGCAGGGGACGCTCTATGAATTTCGGGGGGATTTAAACATCCCCCTGATTTCCCCCCCAACATTTAGAATTTTTGTGCACACGTGGGGACTGCCCCACGTGTGCACAAACCTCCCCCTCCCCCCCAGGTGCCCCCGAACTGCGGATTTAGATATCCGCACAGACGGGGCCACTTCACTATTAGATATATAGATAAGTACTAAGAAGCAACCCTAGCTACTGCACATGTGCCATAGGTATATAGAAATATATTATTTAATAGGAGATTTGAAAAGAAAGCCTCCTGTAACATCTGATGGGAAGGGATAGGATGAAGAAGTGTCATTTTTGGCTTAATTTTTACATTAACACCAAGAATCAATGATCTGTCCCTCCAATGCACAGAAATTCACCAATGGCACAAGTCTCGCTTTCAGCATCATAACCTTTCATGAATGTCACTAACCTAACCTAATAAATGCCAAGCAGCATGAAGTGTAAATATGAAATATCTCCAGAGTTAGAAGACAAGTTGTCAATTGATATTTTGAGCCCATGAGGTGTACTGTTAACAAAGAACTCTGCTGGCATTGCAAATAGGTATTTGGTAAAGAACTTACCTGCTTGTTGCTGTTTTGTCCCATTCATCATCACTTAGCCCTGTATCATGGAAGGGGTTTGTTCTGGGTCTATTTGGAGGAGACAAACTGCCCCTTTGTTTGGGACTTCTCCATTCAAAGGTATTGAAGCTGTATCCTGAAGCCTGATAACTGGGACCTAAAATTTTAATTGTATATTTATCAATGCTACTTTTTAATAAAATCCATATCATGCTTCCAATGTGCTTCCAATGTATCTAAAGCTGTGAGAATTGATCAAAGCTATAAGTCTGTGCTATGCTTTGACTCTGAAGCAATGATTTGAACCTGAAGTACAATCTTACCACACTGTCATTGTGTCTCAAAAGTACAGTTCATTTTTCATACCCAAGTGCTGAAAATTCTCATTGGCATCTGGCATACATGATCAGGCAATTAATGTTCTTAGATGTGCTTTCAATTAATTCTGCGAGCAATTAGATTCATTATAATTAATTTAAATTTTCATGTATCATCTGTATGCAAAAAAAATGTGTTCTGCTCCATACCCATTCTACTTGCTGTCCTGGTCATTTTCACTTCTGTCTTAAAGATTTGGGCATCACGGAAAGGACAAAGATACTGAGATAATCCATGCTACAATGCCAACTATATCTTTCAGTGGAAGACAAAGTCCCTAGGTTCACTGCTCATCTGACCTTGGGAAAATTCCTTCCTCCAATTAACTATTGTCAAGAGAGAGGCTGAGTGTGAGCAGAACCTCTCAGCCAACAGTGCAAAAGTAACATTCTTCTAAGCCCGATGACATCAACGGACATAGAAGGATGTAATTCTGCTTAAGAAAAAGTAACTGCATTCATCACCACCTGGTTTGTTCCTGGGCTGAAAGGCAGAAGAGTTCAAGAAGAATGGGCAACAACTAAACAACAACAACAACAACAACAATATTTCTGAATCGCCCCATCCCTGAGTACACAGAGCTCTGGGCGATTTACAATAAATTAACATACAAAAATACAGTTTAAAATCAACAATTAATCCCAAAATTTCACAGTCTTCAGATGGCGTCTATAATTTAATCTAAAACCTGCTCTGGACTGTTCTTCCATCTCATGGGCAGGCTAAGGAGGAAGCTGAAGTGAGCAAGATGGAAAAAAGAAAGAAAAAAGGAGGGGGCCAGCTATGATGGAAACCGCCGTTTCCCTCAACCAGAAGCCTGTCATGGGGGATCTTAGATTATTCTGGCAAAATTTTTGTAGCTAAAAGTAGCCATAGGGCCAGCAAAATTTGTTCAGGGAAGCAGCATGAATCCTGTTCCTGTATGCCATTTTCTTGTCCTAAAACTCTATCCCCCCTCAAGCTACTAGTGGATTTGTGAGGAAAAAATACCAGTATAACGCAGGTGCCTGTAGTTTCTTCTTCACAGAACTTATAACCACTTGAAGGTGTCTGTCTGCGCATGTGTGTTTGTGTGCAATTTAGATAAGGAAAATGGTGCAGCTGCTAACAGGCCTGGTCCAAGGTTTTTTGGTCCTCTAGGCAAGAAACTTTGGCCACCCCCCACAGGCCACCCTTCACTGGGTCTAGGGCTTGCCACGTCATCCCTGCTGCTGATCCCCGACTTGGAAATGGGGGAAAGTTCCACCAAGTGACTGAGTGCCTCATGTGGTGTGGTGCAGCTGTGTCCAGGGTCACTGCTTGCCACACTGCTATGCCTTCAGGACCTGGTGGAGGAAGGTCTTGCCTGCCACCCAAGTGCCATGGTGTGTACCACTCATCACAGCTGATCTTGCAGTACTGCAGGAGAGATAACTTGGTGGTGCCCCTCCAGGTCTGGGAGAGACTGGTACCTAGTCAGTTGCTGAGGTCAGGTGAGTGGATGGGCTGGCAATGGGTTTTAAAATGCTTCCTCAATTAAGTTAGCAGGACTCCCCCTGCCACATTTTTTTTGCCATCGAGTCACAGGTGACTTATGGCAACCCCGTAGGGTTTTCAAAGCAAGGGGCGTTCAGCCATTGCCTGCCTGTGTGTCATGACCCTGGTATTCCTTGGAGGTCTCCCATCCAAACACTAGCCAGGGCTGACCCTGCTTAGCTTCTGAGATCTGATGCGATCAAGCTAGCCTTGGCTATTCAGGTTAGGAGGGCCCCTTCCACATACACAGCTGTATTCATTTAGAATCAGAAGATCTGCTGAAATAATATATCCAGATTGGCTCTAACATGTGGTATAATAAACTATCCATTACATGCTGTCCCATGTATGATGAACTGGCCTCTTAGTCACAAAACTGTATGCCATTTCTTCTTTGTCTTCAGGATGTAGCAGGACTCTTTCATTAACTGAAGTTATTCTTTTTTTTTTGTACCTGTTATAGCTTAAATTCAGCAGTCCTGATTGTGAGTGACAACAACTGGACTCACGTTTGATATCAACAACACGGTTACTTCCCTATTCCTGTTAGAAATGGCTTGTTTATTCACATTCAGCAATTGTGTTTTTCCCTTCACATGGCATGAATGTCACAGTCAATCTGTATTCCAAGATCCCATCTCTATGCTGTTTCTTTCCCCCCCAGATGATGAGTCCCCAGGTAAATGCTTATGACGGTTTCCCATTGCCACATGTGTGACCTTATACTTGAACTATTGAATTTCCTATTTCTATTATTCTGACTTTGTGCACTGCAGTTCTACAAAGTCATAATGAAGTTACTGCCACCAGTGATGGGTGGCTGAACATTCCTTGATATCTTACAGGTTAGACCTATTTTCATTTTAGAAAAATATTCACAGTTCAATATTTCATTCGTTTTTCAGATATGTGAACAAAAGGCCTTTCAGGGAGCCATGTGTGATTGATGTGCAGTTTACTGTCAAACAAACTAAATTATAGCCTCATGCTGAGACTTGCCTTCTCCAGGAGGGACAAGGGATGACGTCTGATTTCTGGCGTACAAGCAAACTAAATTGAATCATGCCCTTTAAAATTAAATGTAAAACCCCCAACATTTGTAGAATACAAACTTCAACCCACAAAAGTGCTTTAAAAAGTATAATTAATCAACTCTAGTAACAATAAAATCCCTTTCCATATTTAAATACTCAGTGATCAGTCCTGAAACAGCACATCTAGCAAGAAGTGCCAGAGTAATTGGCCTTCTTATCCTATTATAAAATTATTTAAGAAACAAACCCGCAATCAATTTTGGTATCATTTCTTAAATTGGTAGGACCGAATGAATATTGTGAAAGTAATAATTAGAATTGTTCCTGTGAACAAATATATAATAAATTACAGATAATCACTGAAAGTGATGAGTGCTTATCTACCTTGATCTCAGTAATGAGCGTTTCATTTTCTTATACAGAAAAATACTGTTCACCAGTTTGTTCTATAAATTTACTTTTGTATAAGTTTACTATGGGAAGAAGAACTTTTTTCTGGACTGAATCTACTGCCAATCATTTTCCTTGGGCGATACCAAGAACCCGATCACACGTCCCGTCGAGTTTCCGTGGTTAGGGCGTGAGGTGCCGATCACACAGCTATCCTGCAGCGTGGCAAAGAAGCGGCGCAGCGCGATCACACCAGCAATCGCTAGGCGCCGCTTCCATGGCAAACGGGAATATTTTTTTTCTCACCAAAAGGTGAGCATGCGCATGATCGTTTGTGCGCATCCTGTGAAGACTTAAAAAAAAAAACTAACCGGTTTGCGACGGGATTAGGACGGGACGCGATCAGATGCCCACCCTTGCCCCGCGTTTTACAGAAACTAGTAAAGCATTGTTGTTGTTCAGTCGCACAGCCGAGTCTGACTCTTCGCGACCCCATGGACCAGATCACACCAGGCCTTCCTGTCTTCCGCTGTCCTCTGAAGTTTGCTCAATTTCATGTTCGTTGCATCTATGACACTGCCTAACCATCTCATCCTTTGCCGTCCCCTTCTTCTTTGACCTTCAATCTTTCCCAGCATCAGGGTCTTCTCCAGTGAGTGCTCCCTTCTCATTTGGTGGCCAAAGTACATCGTAAGTACTAGTTTTTTACTCCGTATCTTCGGCACGAAGCCACGGGTGCACTACACTTCCCAGATGTTGTGGTGTGATCTCGCCCGGAAAATCCGCCTATCATCCATATCTTTAGCGCGGCAAATGCTCCGTGTGAACGGGGCCCTTGTTCTTCTTCCAATCCCATATGGAATTTTAAAAACCTATACTTATACAGCTCAAAATAACACTGAGGTTTAAAGACAAATGCTTAAACACTGCTTAAATACTAAATTTGTAGGTGTAAAAGAAATTCTGTCATTCTTATTTCAAAACCTTTCCTCAAGCCAGTTATTATTCTGAAAGCCCCTTGACATCTTAATGTCAGGAGATGAAGGAGAAACAAAAAAGGCAGCAAATCACTGAATAATCCTTTTGTGCTCCCCTTTGGTGGTATATAATAAATCTTGACTACAGTCAACAAAAATCACAATGCATGGGCCTCAGATGTTCACATTAATGAACACCTTCAATGTGTTCTGCATCTTTTATTAATCTAAGCTTGAAGGATAAACCTATTTAGCTGTGGATGAGGTACGGATTGGTCATTCAGACATCAGTAAAACCAGCAGAAGGCTGTTAGGTATATTGATATATGTTTTATAACCTGTCACAGTGTCATGAAAGAGTAAAATCAAGGTTAGGCAAAAGCAAGAAGTAACACAATGTGCTAAGGTGTGCAGTCTTAATGACACACAAGCATCCAGCAAACTATAAAGCCGAAAGGTGAGACTGCCTCTTAAGCTGGGCAAAGTCACCTTAAAATTCTTGTTGCTGCTACCTGCAGAAAGTGAATTTGCTGAAATTCATGACCCACCTTGGCTTCCGTAGCTATTGTCTATACCAGAGCCATCCCATGACTCTACAGCACTGTCCACACTTGGGACAGTGGTGGAGTATATTTCTGAAAGTTTGCCTGGTTTTTGTGTGGTCGCTGCATCTTCTTCCATATCACTTGATTCATTTAGGTGACCAGAGGCAGGGAACTTCTTTGGGCTTGTTGCTGGCAGGAATTAAGGACATTAAGAATGATAAGAAGTCGGCCATGCATGACAGGACATTTTGCCTATTAGAAGTCTAGATAAACAGGCTGTATACAGATAATTATTTCTATGGCGAAATCTAAGTGATGTCGCTTTTACTACTACCATGGCAATAGAACAAAGTTTGAGTCAAGTGGCACCTTTAAGTCCAACAAAGTTTAATTCTGGGTATAAGCTTTACTGTGCATGCATACTTCATCAGCTGCAAATGTATCTGATGAAGTATGCTTGTACACAAAAGCTTATATCCAGAATTAAACTCTGTTGGTCTTAAAGGTGCCACTCAACTCAAACTTTGTTCTGTTGCTTCAGACCTTCATGGCTACCCACTTGAATCTACGACTGTGGCAGTAAACGACTGTGGCAATATTAGTAGCTTGATAACCATAGAGAGGTAATAGAAAATACACTTTTTCCATATCCATAATTATGACTTATTCCATACCAGTCAATGAAGTGATACTAGATCAAGCAGAAACAATCACACTGAAACATGTACATATGTGTTGCAACCACAAGGGTTAACTTTGTGGAGGCTAGCTTAATCGAATACCATGGCCAAACATAAGGTCTACAATAATACCTCTTCAGAAAAGCAGTTGTCCAGAGAGTCACAAATTATTCCCTTTAAAGTAATGAATACACCTAGAGTTACAGTTTTGGATAACTGATGAGTTCTTTAAGTAACATCAGCCTTACAAAATATCTGTACTTGCTTAAATATAGAAGTTGTACATGTAGTATCAGATCATGGAATTAGATGGCACCCCCACAGGCTCATGTAGATCAGTTTCTTTTCCTAATGAAGGATGCTCTGTGCCCAAAGCATTCCTGTCAGATGCCTATTTCTCCAGAAGAGGAATTCTACAATCTTCCTGAGCATTTTGTGCTGCTGACAAACTGAGGTGTTAAACATACCCTACATAATTTAAGCCACTAGACTTCAAAAGGTGTAACTTTTTTTCGGATTGCATAAAATGCGGAAAATAACTGTATTTCTCCTTCTTGGTCATATATCTTAAAATACCGAGATTCTCTATATCTTAATCTTTTAAAAAATCTAGGCCAAACATATGCTGTTTTAGGCACCTTACTTCAAGAAAGATAATTGTATGAACAAACTGAAAATTATCATCCTTATTGAATCAGTAGCCTGATACCCGTGCTTCGCTACGGTATTTAAGTTCCGTAAATCCAGTTATAATACTGATGATGTGAAATTTGAAATGTGACATTTGTTGTAGGAATTCTAACAGAGAAGATTGTAGTGTAAGAAATGAAGTGAGACATACGTACTTTCCCCCCCTCTACTGAAGGACCTCTCTCTAGACCACATTGGTGGTTCTGCCCTGAGGTGCTAGGATCACCAGGCTGCTTGATGAGCTCACTCTGGAGCAGGCCACATAGAACTGCCCGTTTAAGAAGCAGTTGTCTGTTAAGTCATCTCCTGCTACCTTCCACGAAAGTGATGGCCCCTCTACTTGTGTTCCTGGATTGCTTTGTTCATATGGAGACTGTGTTGTTCTGAGCACCTCAGGGTTATCTTGCTGGTACTTGGCCTAGGGTTGCCAAGTCCTATCTTCACCCCAAGCGGGGGACTTTGGGGGGCGTTCCGGGAGGGGGTGGAGCATTCCGGACGTGATGATGTCACGTTGGGGACGTCCCCCCGCCCGCCTGCCAACAGGGGCACTGGCTCCCCTGCAGTTAAAGCGGTCCCTTTAACTGCACGGAGCCGGCATTTGTCCGCATGCCTGACCTCCACGGAGATCAGGCACCTGGAAACGCCGGCTCCCTGCAGTTAAAGGGGCCCCTTTAACTGCAGGGAGTCGGCGTTTCCGCACCCCCAATTGGCTGGCCTGCAGCCACCCCTCTCCCTCCTCTCTGTCAAGAGAGGAGGGAGAGGGGTGGTGGCGAGTGTTGGGGCTCCCCCCCCAGCAGCCAGCTGGCCGCCAGCGGGTAGAAGCCCCAAAAAAGTGGGGGACCCCTGTCAAACCAGAGGGTTTGGCAACCCTAACTTGGCTTGTGCAGCTCGGTGCACTGCAGGAGTACTATGTGCAAATGTCTTTGCCACATTCCTAAGTTGCCTCCTCCTTGTAGCATTGGTGTATCTGGCTCAGGTACTTTCTTTGCCAGGAGCTTTCTTGGGGGCAATAAGAGGTGAGAGGTGTGAGGGGGAGTTGGTGTGAGGGAGTGGTGATGCGGTGGACATTTCTTCAGGTTCATGAGGGAGGCACGCATCGAAATGGCTCCTAGAAATGTCCTTTACTATCTCCCCATAAACATTCATACCCTGGCCCTGCTCCCCATAAACATTCATACCTGACAGACACCGGCCTGTCTGGTGTTGGGGGGGATTGTATTTAAAGGCATCGGGGAGGCTGGGCCAGCAGCAGTGCTAAGGCGATCCTGTTGAGCAAACCTCCCCAGTCGCTGTAAGCATCCCAGCTCCTCTCCTACACCTGACAGGTAGCTGCCTGTCCAGTGTAGGATGGGGAGGGGGGGAGTATTAGAAGCCACTGTGGAGGTGGGGCTGGCAGGATCACTAAGGCGTTACTGCTTGGGCAGGCTCCCTCGTGGCTTTAAGCAACCTGCAACCGCTGCTGCACCTGACAGACTGTTATGTATTGAATTGTATATATAACTGCTATGTGAACTGTGCCATTGAGACTTGAATGTAAATACTGATGTGTGAATCGCCTGATTAAGATGCCATGTTGAGCTTCATCCTGGGCTAGGATCCTAATGTAACCAATAGGAGCCCTAGCCCAGAAAGTGTCTGCCAATCACCGTGCAGAGCGGGATCGCTTGTGATTGGTCGTTATTGCTTCAACCTCATAGGTTGCCTTATTGTACAGTGGGTGTGGCTACATTAGCCGGGAGTGTTTAAATACCGACAAG